TCTCCACGGGGAGTTCGTTCCAGAGGGTCGGAGCAGCCACAGAGAAGGCTCTCCTCCAGGTAGTCGCCAGTCGGCACTGGCCGGCAGATGGAATTTGGAGGAGGCCTAATCTGTGGGATCTAATCGGTCTAGTGGAGGTGATTGGCAGTCTGTGGATTGGTACCGGGCTGCAGCATGCCAGAAATTTGTCTGTACAAAAAAGCTCTGTCTGCAGGATGCAGACAGCATATGAAACCATGCCTGTTCTGGTCCCCGGAAAAATCTCTTCACCGATCCCTTGTGCCCAAAAGGTTGGAGGCTGCTGTCCTAGAGCATATTTCTCTATAGCTCAAAAATTATAAAACATTTAGAAGGCCACATATTGATAGATCTCAATAAATATTATTATGTTTTACTTTTTTATATTGAAGTAGCATTTTTTAAATAAAGCTGTGTGATTTATAGAAGGTGTTAAGTGCCTTTGGTGCTTTTCCTTATCAGACCAATGAATCTCAGTTAGTCTTTAATGCAGTGAGGTGTGTGTATGGTTGTAGCCTAGGCTTTTGTTTTATATAAATGTTTTTTCAGATTTAATAAGAAACATCTGGGTGTCAAGTGAGTCATGTAAATCTGATTGGCTAAAAGATATCTCCTTGGTATCTAGCAAAAATACATTCTTTTTTGCATGCATTATTCTTATCTTCATCTGACCAAGTCCCTTGCAAGCATGGGTCAATTCCCATATCATAAAATTATCTGTTGGATCTTGAGCTTTTGTTTGGCTTTGACCTAGGGAAGTATATGAATAATAAGTATATGTTATATACATATAAGAAATATGAATATAAGGGAAAACTTCCTGATGGTAAAATCTGTAGAACAGTGGAACACTCTTATCTCTGGTTTTTAAGAAAAGGATGGACAACTACCTCTCAAGGATGGTTTAATTGATTTTCCTGAGCATTGTAGAGAATTGAGCTACCCAACTCTTGCGGTCCCTCCCCGCTCCACAATTCCTTAATTTCATAAGCTGGGTCATTGTGGTTACTAAAACATGGTTTATATCTTAATGTATATGTGAAATGTATTCAATAAACATTTAATGGTTGGGGAAACTAATAGTCAGCCCGATGTATGAGCATGTCACTCTCTTTGATCATATTCTACCTGATAGACTATCTGGCTGAGGAGGCATCATGTTTATCAAACTGAGCTTTTAGGGGGAAATCTGGCCTGAAACAAGAGTGAGCCAAAATGATTATCAACAAACTCTTCATTATTAACTAATCTTTATGTAACCAAAGTAGCACTACAGGTTACAAGGGTAACTATAAGTAAATGTGAAGGGTCTCCAGTGTTTACAAACATGAGATGTTCTTAGGAGACTTCCCTGAAAATAGCTGGATGTCGCCTATTTCAAGGGGGAATGGAATGGAGTACTTTGGGGGAAGGCATGGCCAGCTGGTTCTACATGTGTACTTTTCATCTTAAAAGTAAGCAAGTCTAAACTGGTGCAGAGGCCTGCCTGGGAACCTTG